AACAGTCCAACGATAGATTGACTCGTCGTGCTTTTTTTAATAATAAGAACATAGCTTTTGTTGCATTTTCTGCTAGGACTTTAATGGCCTCTACAAATCTCCCGTTTCTGTGTAGCTTTATTCCAAGGTAGGTATAAGTATCAACCATTTCGATAGTTTGATTGCCGAACGTGAATTTATATTTTAGTTTACTGTTTTTAGCAGGCCCGCTTCCAAAAACTATTATTTTGGTTTTGGACAAGTTTACTTTTAGTTTCCATCGTGAGCAATATACATGAAAAGTGTCGAGTGATTGTTGTAAGTCTTCAGGGTCTTCATTGAATACGACAGTATCATCTGCATATATCAAGACAATAAACTGCAGGCAAAGTATCAATTCGGTTTCGGTTTGGTATTCTAGATTAACACCTTTACTTCCTCGTTTCAGTAGAAATGGCTCAATATCATTTATAAAAAGTGAAAACAGAAGTGGCGATAGATTTTCCCCTTGTCTTACTCCCGTGTTGCATGGGAAGACTGTGGATATTTGATTATGTAACATGACAGTGGATTTTATATTCTTATACATGTTCTTTACTAAGTTAAGAAATCTACCAGATATTCCACAGTTTAGCAGTTTATACCACAGACCAGCCCTCCACACAGTGTCGAACGCTTTTGTGAAATCAACAAAGACGCAATAGAGTTTTCGTTTTGTTTGTTTTAAAATTTCCCAAAGAGCATGTAGAGCATATACATTGTCGCTTGTAGAGAAACCTCTTCTAAATCCTGCTTGAGCTGGAGTTAAAATATTATTTACTTCGACAAACTTAGTGAGCCTCGCATTAAGTATACTTGTGAATAGTTTACCGAAACAACTGAGAATTGTTATTGGTCTATATGAGTTTGGATCTAGGTGTTCGCCCTTTTTCTTATATATCGGTCTGATTATACCCTTTAGCCAACAGTCTGGTACAAATCCGGAACAAAGTATCAAGTTAAAGAAATGGGTTAGGAGTGGTATTAAATGTGTGGAAGCATCAATAAAATAATCATTTTCAACAAAGTCCAGTCCAGTGGCTTTATTTCTTTTAAGATATTTGATTGCCGAAAGGATTTCCTCACCCGTTATAACCTTATTTAAGACATCAGTGTCATATTGTTGATCATCTACAACATCATCTGATATATCCTCATTAGATTTGGATTCAATAATATCTTTATAGAACTCAAAGAATGTTTCAATATCAGGTGTATTATCAGATTTAGTGACATCCCCTTTACTCAGTAGCTTCCAGTATTCTTTGGGCGAGCGTTTCATAAGGTCACGAAACTGTTTAGTGGTCTCATTTTGAAATTGTCGCATACTTTTGTCCATACATTTTTTATATGCTCTTGACGTTTGATGATAATGCGTTCTATTTAATGGAGTGTTACGTGACTTATATTTTCTTTTAGCTTTATGGAATGATTTTCGCATTGTCCTACACTCATTGTTAAACCACGGTTTATCTTTTTTCTTTCTATTCTGTTTGGGACGATTCGCGCGAACACTCCTGACGCCGTGCAGCGTCCACCAGCACGTGCGCTATGTCTGTTGCAAGCTCGTTGACCAGATCTGGGTCAACACCGCGTTCGCTTGCGCATTGTGTACGCTCAGTGAGGCGTGCGATATTATCAACATTTATATTATTGCAGTAGAGGTCCGATTTTTGTGTATCATATCGTAACGGTTTGCCTATAGTAATGTTATCTTCCATTGGATTTACCGAGGGATGGACAATTTCATTGGTGATGTTTCTATGGGATTTTAAAACAAATTGAACAGGGCAGTGGACATCTGAATATAATGGTGAGTAATCAATTATTTCAAAATTAACAAAAAGACATAGACATGATGGTGACGAAATAACATAGTCCACAACAGATTTGCCTTTACATGTTGCTTTGCCGATTGTTTTGTCTGAACCAACTCTTCCATTACAGATATAGAGATTTAAATTCTATCAATTTAAACCCAAAGTTGTTAGCCCCATCTTTATCTTGTGTGCACCTCTGGTGTGGTAGGCTCAGTTTGTCTAGTATATTCAGAGGGTTAATATCATTTTCAAGTTGTGGTACGTCCATTTCGAAATCATCAACAATGTGCTTATTAAGTAAAAGGCAATCAAACATGGTGTTAGTTCTGGCATTGAAATCCCCCATAAGGCTTACATAATCACTGACTGATAGATAGTGTAATATGGATTGTTCAATCTCATTAAATGCGTTACAATTCACATACTTAGAACCTTCAGGTGGGAGATATACATTACCAATGTACATATCCTGATCAATGTGAAACACAGACTTTGATATCTTAATTCACAGAAGATAAGTGCTTTCTTCTTCTAGACATGTGACTAAATCTTTTAAAGAATTTCTGATTGCAAAACCAATACCACCTGATTTTCTTAAGGACCCAGACCTATGATGAATATGTAATTCATATCCATGTAATCTTAGATCATCAAAGATGTCAGTTTTGGTTTCTTGCAGACCAATAATGTCATACTTCTCTATAAACTCTGTAAATTCGGCATATTCAAGTCTCTTTCTTAGACCACACACATTAAGACTTAAAAAGCTTACTATCTGTTAACTATAATCATTTGCAAAAGCATCATCTTTGTTATTAACATCATCATCACCATCATCATCACCATCATCATAATCATCATCATCACCATCATCTTCATCATCAACAACATCAACAACATCATTATCATCAAGATCACTATCACCATCAACATTACCGTCCGTAGCATCAGAAGAAACACAATCATTATTAACACTTCCCTTATCTATGACGTTCAAGGAATGGTCGGCACCCATGAAGGGCCACCTCCTCGTGGTGGGTGCTGGGTCACGCTAAGCGCCCTTCAACCCCCGTTGTGGACCCGGGGGGATATTTGGTCCACCAACCCGTTTGCCGTGGGTTGCGCCCCTGTGTCGGTGGAGGACGGGATTCTGGTGGTTGAGGGCAAGGGCTCCAGGAACAGTGTTCCTTTGCCCAATACACCACTTCGACCCTTACTTCACCTAGACGGGTGGTTGAATGGGCCCGGTTCAACCAATCGGCTGGTCATGCCGAGCCCTGAGCACTAACTTTCATTGCTCTATCATTTTTTGGCTTGGTTCTGTTTGGACACAATATTGAAATGTTCTATTCTGTATATACTCTATTACATGGATTTTTCAAATTTGAGAAAATTTGCCTAGATGCCGGTGCCAGAAGGCGATGGCTCATGGGCCAAACTGGTAGGACTTACTACTGGTGTATATCATCCCTATATCCCTGGTGTCTGTCTGTTGGATATCCACAGGCAATAGGATACTGCCTTTCTTGGCACTCGGTGGCGGGTGGGGAGTAGGGATGATGAACCTTAATCACACAACCATGGCTTTTCAAACCCCCATAAAAAAATCAAAACGTACTCTAGAAGTTGATTCTGAGAACGATGTGAACCATATCACAAAACCAGTGGAGTATTGGCCACGATTCTTGGTGATGGAAACACCTAATCAGACACCAATCAAATTGAACCCTTTTGCGGTTGCAAAGGGTATTTATGGAATTGCGGGTGATGTCAAAACTATCAAACGTTTGAGGACTGGTTCTATTTTAATTGAATGTGCCAAGCGACATCAAGCCACAAACCTACTGTCCGTAGAGGAATTTGTTGGAATTTCTGTGTCAGTCTCTCCACACAGATCCTTGAACACCAGCAAAGGCATCATAAGAGATCGTGATCGACTCTTTGATGACATGTCAGAGTTGGATATAGTTTCAGAAATGCATGATCAAGGGGTTACATTTGTGAAAAGATTTACCAGGAGACAAGGCACTGAAACGTTCAAAACAAACACATATTTATTTTCCTTTTCATCTCCAACGGCACCAAAATCAGTTAAAGCAGGGTATTGCAACATGCATGTTGAAATGTACATCCCTAACCCATTGAGATGCTTTAAGTGTCAGAAGTTTGGTCATGGATCTAATTCCTGCAAAAATAAGATCACGTGTGCACACTGTAGCCAAACTTCTCATGTTACAGAAGATTGTAACAGTGATGTTAAAAAGTGCCAGAATTGTTCTGGAGCACACTCGTCATCCAGTAAACCCTGCCCAGTATGGAAAAAAAGAAATGGAAATAAGTAAAATAAAATGTACAAAGAATATTTCTTACACTGAAGCAAAGAAATTGGTATCTACAGATCAGACTGAAACGTATGCTTCTGTTACCAAAACGTCGACAGTTTCCTCAGCTACAGTTCAGTGTCAAACAGATTTGACATGGATTAATTCTGTTAATCCTGAACCCCACTGTCCATCTGATTCTTTCACTCAGACTGCGGATCCCTTCCCAGCTGAACAGATTCCTTCACAAACTACTTCTGTGACACCATCTCAAAGGTCAGGATCACAACATGACTCCTCGACAAAATTACAATCTAGGAAAGAAAGGAATAGTTTAGCAAGGCAAAACCGTGACTCATTGTCTCGCAACAAACAGACTGATAGGATTCCTAAAGGATCAAATGATCCTATAAAACTTCACAACAAGTTTGGATCACTGGAGGAGATGGACGTTTCGGAAAGCATCCATCGCAGGACAACAAGTTTATCGCCTAAAAGAAATGGGCGAGCCAGATCTCCAGTCAATCCGCCAAAGAGATGAATAGTTCACAACGATTGATTCAGTGGAATTGTAGAGGATTTAAAACGAATTTTAATGATTTACAATTACTGACCCAAGACTACAAACCATCAGCTTTCTGTCTCCAGGAAACATATTTAAAGCAGACAGACAAACTTAACTTACGTCAGTACAACTCATATCATTGTTTTCTCCTCCTGGCGATAGGGCCACTGGAGGTTCTTCTATCTTGGTGAGGGAGGGAGTGATACACAGCCCTGTCAAACTGAACAGTAATCTTCAGGCTGTTGCCATTCGAATTACATTAAATATGGTGTTTACATTGTGCTCTTTGTATGTTCCTCCTTCTTTTGTTCTTCGGCAGTCTGATCTTCAGTCATTATATGATCAATTACCTAAACCATGTGTCATCATGGGTGATCTGAATAGCCACAATCCGCTCTGGGGTGGTCTCCACACCAACTCTAAGGGCAAGGTCCTAGAAGATTTTATTACCAATAATGATTTATGTATTTCTAATGATGATTCCCATACATATTTACATCCTGCAACAGGCACATACTCCTCACTTGATTTGTCGCTGACAGATTCTGGACTGCTCAATGAGTTCGAATGGTCAGTTCATCATGACCTTTGTGGAAGTGACCATTTTCCAACTTTACTTTCACTCGTTCATCCAGCTGATACCCCACCTTCATCCAGATATAATTTTACAAAGGCAAATTGGTCTTTATTTGAGACATTATGTCAACGGACAATTACACCTGAATTAATTTTTAATACTTCTGACCCGATTCAGATCTTTTCAGAAGAATTACTGAAAATTGCAAATGAAACTATTCCTAAATCCTCTACAAATCCACATATACGAAAACCATGGTATACTGACGACTGTAAACAAGCTAGAAAAGCAAGGAAGAAGGCAGAAAAATATTTTCGCAATCACCCCACCGTCCACAACTTAAACAAATTTAAGATATCAAATGCTAAAGCCCGACGCACCTTCAAGCAATCTAAACGCCAATCCTGGCACAAATATGTATCTAAAATCAATTCCAGAACTCCAATGTCCAAGGTTTGGAATATGATACAAAAAAATTAAAGGAAAAGGTTCCGGATCTCGTGTTCACCATCTAAAGGAGGGTAACACATTACTAACAGATACAGCAGATATCGCAAACAAACTTGGGGAATCTTTAGCCAAACATTCCTCCTCATCAAATTACACACCAAAATTTCAGAAATTTAAAGACCAGGAAGAAAGAAAGAAACTTAATTTTAATTCTGCTAACGGTGAGGACTATAATGAGCTTTTCTCCTTACATGAATTGCACACTGCTTTAGGGCAAGCACACGATACAGCAACAGGGGGGTGATAATATTCATTATCAACTGTTAAAACATTTACCTGATACTTGTCTTGAAGTCCTACTATGTATGTTTGACAATATATGGACTACTGGGAATTTCCCTTCTTCATGGCGGAATGCTGTCGTCATTCCTATACCTAAACCCGGCCGGGATCATACGGATCCTTCTAATTATAGGCCAATATCTCTTACCAGCTGTTTATGTAAAACCATGGAGAGAATGGTCAATAACCGACTGGTATGGTACCTGGAAACAAATAATCTTATAACAAATATTCAGTGTGGTTTTAGAAAAAATCGAAGTACCATTGACCATTTAGTTAGACTGGAAACGTTCGTAAAGGATGCTATCATCCAAAAACAACATGCTGTATCAATATTTTTTTCGATTTAGAGAAAGCGTATGATACGACCTGGAAGTATGGAATTTTAAAAGATCTTCATGAAATGGGATTGAGAGGCCGTTTGTCTCAATTTATATCTCAGTTTTTAACAGATCGGCAGTTCCAGGTACGTGTCGGTTCCACCATGTCTGATATGTATGATCAAGACCAAGGTGTACCACAAGGTAGCATATTATCTGTAACGTTATTCAGTATAAAAATAAACAGCTTATCTAAAGTTTTAAATGAATCCATTGATGGTTCATTATTTGTTGATGATTTTAATGTGTCATGTCGAGGTAAAAATATGCACACGATTGAGAGACAATTGCAGTTATGCCTTAATAAAATTAATGATTGGTCAGAACGAAATGGTTTTAAGTTTTCAAAACTAAAACTAATTGCATTCATTTCTGTCGGAAATATAAGCCGCACAGAGACCCAGAATTGCATCTAGCAGGCTCTCAATTAAAATTGTAAAGGAAGTTAAATTTCTGGGAATAATATTTGACCAGCATCTTACTTTCTTACCACATATTAAATCTCTGAGAGCTAAATGTCTGAAGGCACTCGATTTATTAAAGGTAGTTTCAAACTCCAAGTGGGGAGGGGACCAGTCAACCCTCCTTCACTTATACAGATCACTCGTCCGTTCTAAACTCGATTATGGTTCCATCATTTATGGTGGAGCCTGCAAAAGCAATCTTAAATTATTAGATTCTGTTCATCACCAAGGTCTCAGACTTTGTGTTGGATCTTTCCGAACTTCTCCTATTGACAGTCTTTCCGTAGAGGCTGATGAGCCATCTCTCAAACAACGCCGTATAAAATTATCGTTACAATATATCACAAAACTATATTCTAGTGAGTCTAACCCGGCATATAACTGTGTTTTTAATCCTCTTTATGAGGATCTATATAACAAAAAGTCTTCCCTAGTTCCGCCTCTTGGGCACAGAATTAAGCCATTCATTTCTGCTGCCGGCATTGCGCTGGAAAATATATCTCCTTCGCGTCTTCTTTCTTCTCCTCCTTGGCAGCTGGTGAGGCCTGAAGTTGACCTAACTCTGACAAATTTTAAGAAATCAGAAACCAATGAATTACAATATAAACAGGAATATATTCAAATAAAAAGTAAATATAATACATACAAGTCCTTATTTACAGATGGGTCCAAGGACGGTGGCGCAGTGGCTTGTGCCACTGTTATTGGATCAAAAACAATATCTTCTAGATTACCTGACAACAGCTCTATTTTCACAGCGGAAGCTAATGCCATACTCACAGCTCTTAAATATATTAACAAACACCCAAAATCTAAACAATACATAATATTTTCAGATTCTCTTTCTTGCCTGCAGGCTATTAAAAATTTGTCTTCTCAACATCCACTTTTAATTGAAATCGTTGAATTATATAATGATCTTGCTACTGGCCAATGCGACATCGTCTTTTGTTGGTTACCCAGCCATGTAGGAATCTCAGGTAACACAATGGCCGATTTTGCTGCCAAGGCAGCACTCAACAAATCTGTGACCCCACTTCTTATCCCATATTCTGATTATAAAGCCGTGATTAGATCATATATCCGAGATCTAATGCAAAACGAAGTGGGACACCCAGGTAGGTATCAATAAATTACACGAAATTAAACCAACTATCGGTCACACCTACTTGGGTTGTCAGTCCAGGTTTGAGGAGGTCATCATGCGACGATGTCGCATTGGTCATACAAGATATACACATGAGTATTTGTTGAAAGGTGAAGATCCTCCATTCTGTATCCCTTGTGATGAACGAATCACGGTCAAGCATGTCCTGCTTGACTGCATTGATTTTTCCATCACAAGGGATAAATATTTCAGTGTCAAAACACTGAAGGATCTTTTTTATACTGTCAATTCTCATTTAATAATTGGTTTTTTTTAAAAGAAATAGAATTATTGCATAAATTTTGAATAATAAGTTTTGTAAATATATAAATGGTATTTTAAACATGGTAGTATGAATTAGCAACTGCGATTGTGAGCGGCTGTATCCTCAAAGGGGGTTAAAGTATCGTAAAATTATTGTCCTCCTGAGAGGGTACGTAAGTCCCATACACTTTCAAAGTCCATATCGCACAACCATATTTTTAATCGTAGCATTTCTGTTATTTTAACTTTCGGCTAAATGTTCCTACATCGCCAGCGGCTGAGGGATGTTGTAAATCCAGCTAGGGTCCATGCAGGTAGCAAAAGTAATGTAAGTCCCCATGGTTCCTAGTATGGTGCTCTACCTTCAGTTGTTGGCGATCAATAGCCTGTTTTATATTGTATCGTCTTGTATAGTTCAAATGTTTTAGATTTAGTTACTAGTTTTATATCTGTATCTGTGATACCCTAGTTGTTTTACTGTCCTTCGTTGGCAGAATTTTATCATTTAACTTAAATTCTTGATATATTTATAACTTGCTTTAGTCACGATATGGCTGAAATATTGCCGATGTGACTTAAAATCTTAACTCACTCACTCACTCTTGTAAAACACCCGTGTCACAAACTGTTTGACACTTAATTCATAATTAGATATCTAAAATCAAATGTTAGGCGAGACCAGGAAAGAGCAAGTTTTGACTTTGATTTTTTTAAAAGAGAAATGTTGTATCATAATAAAACAATTAAATGGCACATTTATATCTAACGTTAACCAGCTGGGTTTTAATAAATGACAATGACAGTTAACAGTATTCTGCAGCTATGATCATGTCCAATGATGTAACTAATACCTAACCGCCACAGGTATTCATACCTGTATATATATATATATATATATATACCTCAACATTTCAGAGAATAGTTCCTGCTGCACATCGAGGATCTTGATGTCTTCTTTCTCCGCCAGGTGGCCACACAACATGGCGTAGAACACACAACTCCGACTCATCAGAACATATCGGTGAGCTCGGACTGGCATCCCTTCTTTCCCAACCCGGAAGGTGACGTCACAAGAATCCTCAGAGGTCAACATGTGGAGATTACACTCCGCCAACCAGCCAGTTGTTAACACTTGAAATCCGAGTTGTCTCCACTTACTTCCGCAGAGGCCATTTCGTTCCTCAGTTTTTTCCGTTGGGACGATATTAAAAAAAAACGAATTTTACCATAATCAAACCATTGCGTCCTTCTAAACTATATACTGAGAATTGTTCCTCGGAATTTATGCCATAGAGACCGCATTTGAAAATGAATGCTTCATTTTCCCAAATTCATGTTGTAAAATTCTTGGAAATGGGGTCAATATTTCCACTTTTCGACGGACTGAGACCGTTTCGTTGCTGCCTTAGACCCAGTACGTATATTACAGGGACCTTCTGGACACGTCAATAGAGAAAGCAATTTCAGAAGGCCTTAATCCATTCTTGAACAACACATGTGTATTCCCTTTTCAACTTAGACTAATGTTTAGTCTCTGAATGTATACAATTCCTTTAAAATCGAAAAGTAGCCCGAGTGAGATGGGAGATACAAAACCTGAAACTGATTAAATCCAGACTTGCTTCTTTTAGGACTTAAGCATTGCAGAAAGGGCTAGGCAGAAAGTTAATAATGCGGTTCAGGGACTGTGAAATAGACAACGTTTTCCTTTACTTTACCTCGAAGGTATGTATTTTTGTTTCATTTTATACATGGTTCACCACAATTTATTTGATTATATCTGTTTCAAAACTACATGAAATATCTGAACAGTCATAACTATCTCACTCCATGGTGCAAAACAATCCAAGAAGTGTCCTTCACCATGAGTTCATTTCCCCGTATAAGAAAAGAAAGCAGACTTCTTCGAAATTCCATATTGAAAATCGCATTCAACTGGAACTAGTTCAGGTGTCATCATGGCGGGAACAAACATGTCTTTTTTCAGGTGATTTATACACGTGGACCTGGTTGACTACCAGAAAATGAATAGTCTCTACACTGGAATGTATATTACTTGGTATACTGTGACGCAGTGTTACATATTCATTCACTTATTGAAACCATCCCATAGTCTAAACCGTAACTTATAAACGACATGTCAAAACACAGAGGTTGTAACTGAGGTTTCCTTTAGAAGTGATCGCGATTCAGAGAATAAACAAATGAATGAATGCCAAATGAATGTGCCACCTTCACATACAACATAACAAGAGATGGTACATTACTTTTTGTGAAATTAAGATCTGATTATGACAAACATTATTTTTTTAAGTTTTAATATGTACAAAATCCTCATATTTGTCACAAAGCCAGTTACCTCCCTTGAATACAGTCTCCTGGAACCGCGTGGCACAGAAGGAAGGATAAAATAAATGTACATTTAGACTTACATCGGTCTAGGAAACTGAAATGACCTTTATCCTTTATCAGGAATAAAAGCAGAATTCTTGGAATAGCCTTGCCTATACCGAAACCGAAAGTACGGTATTTCAAATGTGTCCCAAAGATATGGTTTAACTTAAAACAACTAATCGTCACATTCGCACGTGTTACACAAACTTGACATGGAATCCAGGCTGCTGTCGTGTTTGCACCAACCTGTGTCACGTGGTTATAATTTGACGACAAAGTAAACATCTGTCGTAGTCTGTCCGCCCTACTCACCTTACTCGGCTGGTTGGATGTCTCGCCACTGAAATGTGAACGTGTCACGTGACAAAACAGCGAGGTATACCAATCGATGGCTTTCATCCGAAACTGCGAGTGCTTAAAGGCATGACGCTATTTTCTTATTTACTCCCTTCCTTAACATTTAATTTTGTTAAATATTTCGGGGTTGTTGTTTTTGTTTTGTTTTGTTGTTTTGTTTGTTGTTGTTGTTGGGTTGTGTTTGTTTGGGGTTTTTTCGGGGGGATCGTAAACGTATTTGTATTGTTTATTGTATTTGGGGGTGGGGTGTAATTTTGCTGTTTTAAGGAGGGCATTTACTTTCAAATGCATAATCCACCAACTAAGCCAGCCAAATACGTTTGGATCCTGGGATAAACATAACATGGTGTAATTCGCGTAGAATTACTTCACACGCCCTCTGACACATAGTTTGGCGCTGTTCTGCTGTGTTTGTTTAATAAATGCATGAGTTTGGAAAAAGATGCTTTGTTTTGATTATAACATAACATAACATAATCAGACATTTAAGACCTTTTGAAATATTCTGGGAATGTACTACTGGCAAACAAGGATAGGTTGAGCACCGACCTGACAATTGACCCGTATTAGCATGTATGAGTGCCGCCCACTGGCGCTTGCCATTGTTAGCGAAGGGGCCCCAGGTTGTCCGCGATCAAGTGTAGTGCGATGAGTGAAGCGCGTGGCCTGTCTCAGCAAACTCCGAGTTCTACAGTGGCAGGTGCATTTGTTTGCATTTTACGTTAAGAAATCAATGGGAATTTATAATCTCTCATAACCATTCATGGTTGGCTCATAAGTTACTATGTTTTATACCTTTACAGAATCTGCTTTTAATATGAGGTGTGACCTGAAAAACATAACTGTCCATCTGTCTGCAACTGTGTGTGCGTAAGATACACGTGTACTTGCTGAAAATGAAACAAATTTATTTTCAAAAAGTGAATGAATCAGATTGTAATGAAGTAAAGTAGAACATTCTTCTGCCTGGCATAAACATTACCCGGTCAGGCTTGAAATAACTGAAAGAAACGCCAAGGTGTCACAGGACCTATGTGACAATCCCTTGATAATATCTTGTTAATGTTTCTTGTGTGTCCGTCAGCGGGAAATAACAACACTCATCGTACTACGCGCGGAATCAATTTCATCGTCATGTAATGCACGTGCATGTGCACTAGCCTACATCTGCTTTACCTTTCACAAACCAAATGGGATTGCTCAGTGCCGTGCACCACCTACTTCTCGTAAACGCGTTCTCTGCGCCGGTCCAACTTATCCTTGTTTGCCAGTAGACGAATTAAAACCACCTGTTTAACATCCTTCCTTGAAATATGTAAGAAGGTTAATCTTTGAATACATATATCCCATCGCATAATAGTGAATGATAAGTGATATCCAAACCGTATATATTATACAATTATTCAAGTGAGGTTAAACTAATGATTTCTGTTTGTTTGTGTGGTTTTTTTAATGGCACGGGCTGTGACAATATGTAAAATAGATCCAACAGGTTTCGATAAATTCCACATAGACAATCATTTCAGAGACTTAGCAAGCAGTTAAAACAGATTGCATAGATCTGCAAGTTGTAGACATTCAATAAGTAGTATGCGAAACTCGCCAAGATTTTGTACCTGACCACGAGGCTGATAACGTATAAGGGGCGGTGGAGTAGCCTCTTTGTTAAAGCGTCTGCTCAAAACGCTGAAGACCCGGGTTCGATTCCCCACATGGGTACAATGTGTGAAGCCCATTTCTGGTGTCCCCCGCCTTGACATTGCTGGAATACTGCTAAAAGCGGCGTAAAAACATACTCACTTACTCACTGAAAACCAACCATGTCCTATGAACACTGTCAAAAACTATTCTATAAAAAAAAGTTTATAACAGGCAGTTGTCACTAAGCTGACATAATTTCCCGCCGCAAATTATCAAATCAAACTTAAAAAGTAATGAAAGTGAAGGTCGTAGTTTAAATGTCAACAAAAACATGACCAGTCAACCTCTCTTGATATCTTGCTCTGTAGCTGTTCAATCACAAAAATATTTTCAAGACTCAATTTGACCTTGACATGAATGTCATGGTGTATGAAATATGCAAAAAATAGTAATAAAGAAATTGCTTATCAAAACACATTTAACAGAGGTCTTGAAAGTCTATGAAGAAAATCCAGTGAACCGTTCTTGAGATATCTTGCTGACAATCTTAACATACTGAAATCTTCAAAGTGTCACCATGACCTTGAAAATTACGTAAAGGTCACCAAAATCGAGTGAACATGGTGAACACCTAGATAAAACATGGTGTAAAATATGAAGAAAATCCAGAGGACAGTTTTTGAGATATCTCGTTGATAAGCTTAACATGAAGATTAAAATGCTGAAATCTTCAAAGTGTTGATGTGACCTTGAAACTAACGTGAAGGTCACCAAGATCAACTGGGCACTGCGCATACCCTAGATGTAGCTTGGTGTCAAATATGAAGAAAATCCAGAAAACGGTTTTTGAGATATCTCGCTGACAAGGGTAAATCGTTAAAGTCCCCTTGTGACCTTGAAATGAAGGTCAAGGTCACCAAAGCTGACTGGGACCTTTCTTATACTGTGATGAACCTAGGCACCAAGTATGAAAAGAACCTAGTTAATGGTTCTTAAGGTAACCCAATACGTACGGACGGGCGGACGGAGCCTAATATTATATCCCCCGCTTCGCCCTAAACGCGCGGCGGGGGATAACAAGAAGGCAGAAAAGGTATGTTTGACGAGCTTTATTTAAATGCACAACTTCCACAAGTTGGTAACCTTTCAATAACCGATAATCCCCTCTTTGTGTACACCAAAGGCATTACTATCTCGTTGTGTAAATTGCAGGCTTCACTTCTTAACGCTTTTATCAAAAACCATGGGTTGTTATTGTGTTTGGCTTCCTAATCCCTATTGTACTGTACAAACATCTCCTGTAACTTGTATATATGCTCCTCTATCCCAATTCTATTCATCTTTTGCTTGATAAGGGTGTTAGAACCTACACCGAAACGTCGCTCTCACAACAATAAAGAAATTATTATCCTTCCTTGGTAACCTTTGACACACTGATCCCACATCAAGTTCACAAATAACATAAAGATAGTATCACGGAGGTAAAGGCTGGAGATATCAATAGTGAATTAACTGTTTGAATGGAATTATTCAAATAACATTGTCATCTTCGAAATATACAATATGCAATTTCAGAATATACAAAATCCACAATTTGTTCAATTATCGAACACCTGTTTACTTGTCACAATGAACATATTACTTTTTTTAGCTTAAAAAATATAGAAAAACCACAGTGTTTGTCACTTCTATGTATTAAGAACATGGAAATTCTAAACATTCTAATCTCATAATGAAGGTAATGCGAAATATTACCAGAAAATAAAAATATCATTGCAATTTGTCAGCACAGTTTCCCTATTCCCGATTAAGCCTAATTGTTGTTGACAAGTCATCCATCACTGTTTTTGAAGTGGAACAGTATGTACACATGTTCTGTACACTGATTGACGAGCACTATGCATGCCAGTGTGTTGTCTCACTTTTGCTCCATTATGAGTCTGGAAATGAGACCCGGGCCACGTTCTTCTGTAACTGATATCTGACATTTACCAACTGTGATATTATTGAATACGGAAGAGCCTGAGAATCTACTTTTATTTGACTCTCTTGTTACTTCAATTTTATACCTGCATGACTTTTTAAGAATCAATGCCTCTGACAGCTTCAGTTGGGCTTCGTTGGCAAAGCTTCTCACCAACACAAATGATACACTTGCTTTTGTTTTGACCCAGGTTTTAATAGTAGTATAATACCCATCCTTTTTATCCTGTTCTTGATAAAGACAAATGCTATATTTGCAGCTGTCATCACCATATGCCCAGAGACCAAGTAGACGCATGTCGTCGCTGCATGTGATGATGAGTAGGTTAGAGTCCTCCTTACATTGATCCCTGTCAATTGGATCTGCATACAGAGTGACCCACGAGTCAAGTTCTGGCTTTATCTTGAAGGGTGCCACATCGGAACCAGGTAAAATCATGTGACACAACAACTTGGTACATTCGTCGCCCGATAATATTCCAGACGGTACAACTACTTTTGCAAAGGACTTCATTCCCATTGCGGTAAAATCAAGCTCGTACACGGTTTCTCCCAGAACAAGACGTTTGTTTTCCGGAGTTATCTCCCTTCCTTGGCGTTTACACTCTGTCTCAGCCCACAAGAGGGCACCACTGAGACTTGTTTCATCTATTGTTACAAATTTATCTGAACTTACAACTTTATGAAAACACGATGTACAAAGAGTTTTGAAGCCAGGGCTACGAACAACGGTACCACAATGTTTCATAACAACCTCCAGGGCCCTGTCAAAGAGCTTCTCCTCGTCAAAGACGTGGGCTTGTTCCAAGATGACACAGGCGTTATCTGCCGTCGGGGACGATTTCAGGTAAGTCAGACACAGACACTCTAGACCCCCCACGTCGTATTTCTTGGCCAGGTACAACAAACCTGTCACATTCTCAGCAGTCAGGGTTGTCTTGTCTGTGTACAGGTACCTGTAAATGATATGTATTCATGACAATTAGGCCTTGTATAATGTTTGAGCAAAGTTTAAGTTTGAGTATAAACTGTATCCAGTCTGAAAACTTTGATGCTACACGAACAAGGTTAGAGTTCACCACTTTATCATGTGTCTGGACAAGAATCTAAATGTAATATATTTATTGACATAATGTTTGACCTCAGCTGATACAGTCAGTCTATTTACCGATTACGCAAACGTTTATCTTTTATGCGCTTCTCATAAATCTGAAAAAGTCTCAATAACTGACTCAAATTCGTGATACTGCTCAGGTGTTTTATCGATAGTACAGGAACACTGGAATAGTCTAGGGGTTAAAGCGATCGCTCGTCACGCCAAAGACCCGGGTTCGATTTCCCACATGGGTACAGTGTGTGAAGCCCATTACTGGAGTCCCCTGCCGTGATATTGCTGGAATGTTGCTAGAAGCGGCATAAAACCATACTCACTCATTCACCATCAATACTAGTATGACTTTTGACATTAACGGCAAATACAAATAAACGATACCTGACAAAGACTTGTTTTATACTTAATTCATAATTAGTTCTCTAAAATCACAACGAATGTTATGCGAGACCAGGGAAGAGCAATTGTATTTTGAATTAAAATATTTTCTAAATGATAGAGAAATGTATCATAATAAAAGAATTAAACTGCATGTTTATTTCTAGCATTAACCAGCTTGGCTTTTATATATGACAATGCCAGTTAAAATGTATATACCTCAGCATTTCAGAGAATAGTTCCTCCTCCACATCTGGGATCTTGATGTCCTCTTTCTCCGCCAGGGATCCACACAACATGGCGTAGAACACACAACTCCGACTCATCAGAATATATCGGTGAGCTCGGACTAGCGTCCCTTCTTTCCCAACCAGGAAGCTGACGTCACAAGAATCCTCAGAGGTCAACATGTGGAGGTTACACTCCGCCAAGGTCTTCCCACTTTGCCAGTTGTCAACAAATCCGGAGTTGTCTCCACTTACTTCCACAGAGGCCATAGTGTTCCTGAATGTTGTCTGTCAAAGAAAGTAATCAAAACATTGCAACCTTCTCGAATCGACGCCGCCGTTTTTACGCCACTTTTAGCAATATTTCAGCAATATCACGGCGGGGGACACCAGAAATGGGTTTCACACATTGTACCCATGTTGGGAATCGAACCCGGGTCTTTGGCGTGACGAGCAAACGCTTTGACCACTAGACTATCCCTCAGTTTTGTAGCTCACCTTGATGTGAAATCAACAGTTTGAAATATCAGTGGCAACAAAAACAGACACCTACAGCTTTGTGGCAACACTTAGATTAAATTAATTTCAGGGTGGATGCTGAAACATAAACAATAAAACACGAACATTTTCTTGAGACAACGACCCGTGAAGGTCCGGGTTAGAATTGATCTTCAGCAACCCATGCATGCTTGTCGTAAGAGGCGACTAACGGGATCGGGTGGTCAGGCTCGCTGACTGGTTGACACATGTCATGGTATCCCAATTGCGTAGATCGATGTTCATGTTGTTGATCCCAGGATTGTCTGGCCCAGACTCGATTATTTACAGACCACCGCCATATAGCTGGAATATTGCTGAGTGCGGCGTAAAACTAAACTCACTCACCCACTCTTGAGACAACGTAGCACCATCGTTTGATTCATTCAGAACTCAGCTCAAGACCCATCTTTTCAGACTATCTTATGATCTTTACTTTGTATGCGCTTTGAGCATGCACTTGGAGTATGGAATTTAGCGTACACATCATCATCACCATCATCGTCGTCGTAGAAACACATAAAGGTCAAGACATGGTTCATGTAATTTATTTAAACTTTGCGAAAAACGTAATTATGTGTTGAGTATCTTTACTAACTACGTATTTTAAAACACAACTGAGTGAGCAATGGACTAAAACGGTTTCACATTATGAAAATTACCGTAGAACGTAATGTTGTTAGATCTCCGCCTACGTAATGAACGACAAGGTGTTAATATTTCTTGTTAACCTTCCTGGCACTAGGCATTAAAAGTATTAAATCAGAGTGAGTGAGTATGGTTTTACGCCGCTTGGCATGGTATCTTACTAGGCTTGGACTATAAAAGCGCGGCATTAAGCCTGACTACAGTAGTAGAAACACACACTAGCGTGCGCCCGGCTACATAAGTGCAATAATCTCTTGAACGTGAAGTAAACTTTCATTTTTGCAAATTTAAACAGCAATAGTGAAAAAGCAATTTTAATTGTAATTGACCCAGTGGTTTCTGAGATGTTTGTAGAGCTGGACCGCAATTTGAATGAATTTAGAGCGTACGCCATATTGAAACTCGGAATTGAAACTCTTTAATTCGGTGTCCCGTTACAATGTAATCGCCATGAACAGAAAGACTATAATGATCTTATAAAAAAAATAACGTATCAATTTTACATACATTTTACATTGTGTGTGTGTGTGCTTGATGATGATATATATGGAGAAGCGACTGAATGACCCCATCAAAATCTATGTAAAGGTAAGTGACACCCCACCGCCGCATGTCATGTACAAAATCAATGACACGCCCTAGTACATGTGTACAACATTGATGACACCCCCTACCACCCAGGACAAAATGGGTGACCCCACCCCCACCCTTAAATTGAATGTGTCACCTTCACATACACCGTATTAAGATGGCATATTACTTTCCTTGTGATAATTAAGATCGGATTATGATAGACAAAGTCTGGAAACGTTTTGTTTGTTTAGGTTTCAATGTGTATAAAATCCTCATAGTTACCACAAAGTTTGCCATAGACTAACGGTTAGTCCCTGAATATATATAATTTTGATAGTAACAAATAAACCCATCTAAATTGAAAAGGAGCCCCAGTGAGTTGGGAGATTCAGGAACCGGAACCTGGGGAAATCTAGACTTGCTTCATTTAGGGCTTTAGCATTTATCTCCCTTGAATACACTGGCTACTTCCGCGCCTCGCGGGAGGAGGGCACGATATACACAGTGTCACTGTCATCTCGACTGCACATATAGGTCAAGATGGTCGAAATTACATAATCAGTGTCTGTCATTTTCTTTATCCTTTACCGGAAATGAAAGTAGCCTTGTTGGTGTCGCCGTGCCTATCCCATAATCGAAAGTAAGATGTTGATACTGAAATGGTTATAGATCTATCTAAAATGTTTAACAAAAATAACTTAAAACGACTAAGGTGAGTCCCAGCTGTAAGCTGTAAGACATTGAGATTTGACAGAATACTAGCTGTGACGCCCCCCACTGTTCTTCCTTGACGTCCAACCATAGTTTGTGGCATTACAGCCTTGGTTTCAGATCTATCGTCACATACTCATATTTTACACAAACTTGACGTGGAATCTAGCTGTTGTCATGTTTACTGCAACAGTGCAACCTGTGTCATATAGTTCTGGTTTTATGACAAAGTAAACATCCACCGTGCGCAGTCGTTCCTCAATACCAGAGACCATATATATTGTCTCTGCTCAATACTCACCTTTCTCGGCTGGTTAGATGTCTCGCCACTGAAATATGAACGTGTCACGTGACAACAGCGCCAGTCTGTGTAAACTTAGGCTCAGTATTATTAATTCCACATCCCTACTCCCTACTGAAGTATCCCATGAGATGCGCATGCGCATAGAGGTCAGTAGCGAGTGTGCATTTGAGGGAAGTTGACGCGAAGTTGGTTAATTCGGGGAAAAGTGACTGGAACTGTGGATTTATCATTGTGATCAATTCATGGGATACTGGAATTTGTTGCTTTCATTATATAGACTGGATATAGGGTGAGTACGAACACTGTCACGGACTAATTCGACGTATTCTTGGATTTTGTGTTGTGTTCACGGACCCGAGTCGGGGTCAGAGTTCAAGATGGCGGAACAGCAAGAGCCATGCAAACCTAGCGAAATAAGTTCGCACGTGCAAAACCGCAAAGGTTTGTTTGAAAATGTTCGGGACATTGTAGCCCAGGCAGCACCACGAATGCAGTTGAGAGATCATCATGAGAACTCTCAGTATGTGAATAAAGGCACATCGAATGAGTTTGACTCGGTGCCGACCAGCCAAAACAATTCGTTGGTTTCACATTAATTTTAGACTCGCTGTGCGCATGCGCAGAGCGTGTAAAAATATCCTCAGGCCATATCCGGTTTGGTCGTAAGCTTTACCGATAGTGTAAACGCACTCTAAAGGAAGCAAAAATCAAAACAAATATATGGTTTTATGTCGAATTTAACTAATCTCAATTCATTTATGAATGGAAGGGACCGGAATCAGTTAAATAAATAGCTTAACGTTTGTTAACAAGCTCTTGTATAAACACATCTCACCACCACCCGTCCACCGTCCTTCCTGAACATCCCCTTCTCTAGCCGAGAGCCGCCAGCTACCCCTTCTCACAAGTAAAAAAACACATCTCTGATGCAATGCCACCAAAATAGAACATCAAATATTGAAAAGCATAGGCAAATTGATGTATGTACTCAACTATGAACAGTTGTCACGCGTAAATAATTTTTATACAGCATTTATTTAGAGCGTGTTTACAATATCGCTAATACGACCAAACCGGATATGGCCGGAGGATATGTTTACACGCTCTACGCATGCGCACAGCGAGTCGAAAATTGATGTGAAACCAACGAATGGCGTGTCTAAAAATAGAACCAGCACATCGGCAGCAGGCACGAGTGCAGTGGAGGTCAACACGGCGACTGGTCAGTCGGCCGGGAGGCAGTTGTATACCCTGAATGACATTGGGATTTCATGAAAGCCATTCTGTATAATCAGACGACTGCCTCTACTCCTGTTGTGGCACAACCTGATGTTTCTAGACCCGACGTGCCACATGCCGGAAACGGTGCTGATGAGAAAGGGTACGAAGATATCTCTTCTGACAGTGATACTGACCCAATGGACGCGGTCATGAGGGACCTCGATAGGCAAGAGGTGAATGACGACAGTGATGACGATGATGATGAGGACTTTGCTAAAGGTCTATTAACTGACCTACAGGCCTTCGTTAGCGCAAACGAAGAGACCAGTGGAAAAATAAGGCCTTTTTTGGCTGAGTCCATCAACCAAGGGTTACAAAAAATGGCGAACCAAAAGAAGCTGAAGGAAGTGGCAGACAGGTATAAACGGCCTGAGAACTGTGATTTTTTGCTTACACCAAGAGTGAACCAGGACATATGGTTACAGGCTAAGCCTTACACAAAAAACAGAGACACTAAATGGCAAGGTATACAGAATGAGGTTGTGAAGGCAATGATGCCTATGATTCAGGTCACAAATGATCTCATGGTGGCTGCCATTGACAAGGGTCAAGTCAATGTCAGAGAGCTCTTAAAGAAGAGCTCAGACAGCATTAAGCTGATGACGGCATCTATCTCAATAATGAATCAAAGACGCCGGGAAAACTTTCGACCTGATTTGACAGGGGCTTACAAGAGACTTTGTTCAGCCCAGCTTCCGACAACAAATTGGCTCTTTGGAGATGATCTCTCCAAACACATCAAAGACATCTCTGAATCTTCTATGATTGGACAAAAAATTGGACACCCTCAAAAATCCAAATTTGACAACCATTCCAGGCCCCATCCATACAAGAACTGGAAGGCAAACAAAGGGGGTAAGAACCGTCACTCAGGCAACCAGCAGCACCATTCCAAAGCCTTTAACCATGGTGAGCCGCAATATTTTTTAGGAAAGAAGAGGGGCAGAGGAGACAAGAGATTCTAGGGAGCAAGAAAAGTGTTGAGGTGAGAGAGTCTACGGGTATCAAAACATTGACTAATACACCCAATTCATTCCAAGCTGGGAATACTAGCAAGTGTGTGTCTGTGTGGAGTGGCATTACTAGTGACACCTGGGTGCTGAAAAGTGTAACAGGTGTAAATATTGAATTTCATACCTTACCTGTGCAATATTTTGTTCCAACTCCAATTAATTTTCCATCAGCAGAACAGTTGGTGATCAATGAACAGATTAAGAAAATGTTATCTAATGGAACCATTGAGAGGTGTGAACACTCAAAAGGGGAATTTATCTCTAATATTTTCCACAGACCAAAAAAGGATGGATCATTGCGATTGATTCTAAATCTGGGGACTTTAAATGATAAAGTTGAATACCACCACTTCAATATGGATACCTTGCAATCTGCCCTTTACTTGGTAAAGAAAGATTGTTATTTTGCATCAGTGGATCTTAAAGATGCTTACTTTACTATTCCTGTGTAAGATGCAGATAGGAAGTATCTCAGGTTCTACTGGAACAAGACATTATATCAGTTTACTTGTCTCCCCAATGGGTTGTCCTCGGCACCCAGAATATTCACTAAACTGTTAAAACCAGTGTATTCACACTTAAGGAAGCTCGGACATGCCAACACAGCTTACATAGATGATTCCCTGTTGGTTGGTGAGGACTATGTAGCATGTGAAGAAAATCTTAAAGGTCACATGCAACCAAAAAATCAAACATAATAAAACCCAATTATCACTTCTTCATGACATATAATATGCATTGCTGATTATGAAAAAACAAATAAACTAAATTCCACATCCCTACTCCCTACTGAAGTATCCCATGAGATGCGCATGCGCATAGAGGTCAGTAGCGAGTGTGCATTTGAGGAAAGTTGACGCGAAGTTGGTTAATTCGGGGAAAAGTGACTGGAACTGTGGATTTATCATTGTGATCAATTCATGGAATACTGGAATCTGTTGCTTTCATTATATAGACTGGATATAGGGTGAGTACCAACACTGTCACGGACTAATTCGACGTATTCTTGGATTTTGTGTTGTGTGTTGTGTTCACGGACCCGAGTCGGGGTCAGAGTTCAAGATGGCGGAACAGCAAGAGCCATGCAAACCTAGCGAAATAAGTTCGCACGTGCAAAACCGTAAAGGTTTGTTTGAAAATGTTCGGGACATTGTAGCCCAGGCAGCACCACGAGTGCAGTTGAGAGATCATCATGAGAACTCTCAGTATGTGAATAAAGGCACATCGAGTGAGTTTGACTCGGTGCCGACCAGCCAAAATAATGGCGTGTCTAAAAATAGAACCAGCACATCGGCAGCAGGCACGAGTGCAGTGGAGGTCAACACGGCGACTGGTCAGTCGGCCGGGAGGCAGTTGTATACCCTGAATGACATTGGGGATTTCATGAAAGCCATTCTGTATAATCAGACGACTGCCTCTAATCCTGTTGTGGCACAACCTGATGTCTCTAGACCCGACGTGCCACATGCCGGAAACGGTGCTGATGAGACAGGGTACGAAGATATCTCTTCTGACAGTGATACTGACCCAATGGACGCGGTCATGAGGGACCTCGATAGGCAAGAGGTGAATGACGACAGTGATGACGATGATGATGAGGACTTTGCTAAAGGTCTATTAACTGACCTACAGGCCTTCGTTAACGCAAACGAAGAGACCAGTGGAAAGATAAGGCCTTCTTTGGCTGAGTCCATCAACCAAGGGTTACAAAAATGGCGAACCAAAGAAGCTGAAGGAAGTGGCAGACATGTATAAACGGCCTGAGAACTGTGATTTTTGCTTACACCAAGAGTGAACCAGGACATATGGTTACAGGCTAAGCCTTACACAAAAACAGAGACACTAAATGGCAAGGTATACAGAATGTGGTTGTGAAGGCAATGATGCCTATGATTCAGGTCACAAATGATCTCATGGTGGCTGCCATTGACAAGGGGTCAAGTCAATGTCAGAGAGCTCTTAAAGAAGAGCACAGACAGCATTAAGCTGATGACGGCATCTATCTCAATTATGAATCAAAGACGCCGGGAAAACTTTCGACCTGATTTGACAGGGGCTTACAAGAGACTTTGCTCAGCCCCGCTTCCGACAACAAATTGGCTCTTTGGAGATGATCTCTCCAAACACATCAAAGACATCTCTGAATCTTCTATGATTGGACAAAAAATTGGACACCCTCCAAAATCCAAATTTGACAACCATTCCAGGCCCCATCCATACAAGAACTGGAAGGCAAACAAAGGGGGTATGAACCGTCACTCAGGCAACCAGCAGCAGCATTCCAAAGCCTTTAACCGTGGTGAGCCGCAATATTTTTAGGAAAGAAGAGGGGCAGAGGAGACAAGAGATTCTAGGGAGCAAGAAAAGTGTTGAGGTGAGAGAGTCTACGGGTATCAAAACATTGACTAATACACCCAATTCGTTCCAAGCTGGGAATACTAGCAAGTATGTGTCTGTATGGAGTGGCATTACTAGTGACACCTGGGTGCTGAAAAGTGTAACAGGTGTAAATATTGAATTTCATACCTTACCTGTGCAATATTTTGTTCCAACTCCAATTAATTTTCCATCAGCAGAACAGTTGGTGATCAATGAACAGATTAAGAAAATGTTATCTAATGGAACCATTGAGAGGTGTGAACACTCAAAAGGGGAATTTATCTCTAATATTTTCCACAGACCAAAAAAGGATGGATCATTGCGATTGATTCTAAATCTGAGGACTTTAAATGATAAAATTGAATACCACCACTTCAAAATGGATACCTTGCAATCCGCCCTTTACTTGGTAAAGAAAGATTGTTATTTTGCATCAGTGGATCTTAAAGATGCTTACTTTACTATTCCTGTGTATGATGCAGATAGGAAGTATCTCAGGTTCTACTGGAACAAGACATTATATCAGTTTACTTGTCTCCCCAATGGGTTGTCCTCGGCACCCAGAATATTCACTAAACTGTTAAAACCAGTGTATTCACACTTAAGGAAGCTCGGACATGCCAACACAGCTTACATAGATGATTCCCTGTTGGTTGGTGAGGACTATGTAGCATGTGAAGAAAATCTTAAGGATACTGTATCTTTATTGGATAAGCTAGGGTTTACTGTGCATCCAAAGAAGTCTGTCCTCTCACCATGCAAGCAAATCACTTACTTGGGCTTTGATCTCAACAGTGAAACTATGACGGTCAACTTGACGTCCGATAAGTGTGAAAAGATTGCTTCATACTGTGGAAAAATGTTAAGTGAAGAAAATGTGACAATTAGGCAATTGGCTACATTAGTGGGACAAATGAATGCAGCATGTCCTGGTGTGAAATATGCCCCTTTGTTTTATAAACGGCTGGAGAATTTCAAAAATCTCTCGCTAAAACAGGCCAAGGGGAATTATGATGTAAGCATTAGTTTGTCTGGTGACTGCAGGGAGGACATTCAGTGGTGGATAGACAATGTAGGAAAGTGGCACCAGAGTTTAAGTGAGTCGCAGCCTGAACTTACTATTAAGTCAGATGCATCTAACTCCGGCTGGGGTGCAGTGTTTGGTGATACTCGCACTGGTGGTTTATGGTCAGAGAGTGAAAAATGTATGCACATAAATTATCTGGAAATTCTGGCAGGCTGGTTAGCCCTAAAATCATTAATGAGTGACAAGTACAATACACATATTAGAATTATGATGGACAATACTACAGCTGTGGCATATGTCAATAACATGGGTGGTTCTAAACTATTGTGCAATGCTGTAACTCGTGAAATGTGGCTATGGTCTAAAGACCGTGGTATTCGGCTGTCGGCAGGGCATGTACCCGGCGTTACCAATACTGAAGCAGATTTTGAATCTCGAAATTTCATTGATGATGCAGAATGGAAACTTAATAAACATGCGTTTGATGCAATCGTAGAACAATTTGGAAAGCCTCATATTGATCTGTTTGCAAGTAGGATAAATTTCCAGATATCTCCTTATGTGTCTTGGCACCCTGATCCAGACTGTGTTGCTGTTGATGCGTTCACATGTTTTTGGGGTGGTGACTTACAATATGTGTTTTGTCCATTCAGTCTACTTGGCCGAGTACTGAAGAAGATCGACAACGATTGTGCGGATGTCATTCTGATAGCACCTTTGTGGACCACACAATTCTGGTTCACCAGAATCCTGGAACTGTTGATAGACTGTCCCAGACTCCTACCCAAGAGCAAGAAACTCCTGACTCTCACTCATCTACCCAACAAGATTCATCCGCTGTGGAACAAACTTCGGCTGACAGCCTTCAAGCTGTCAGGAGATCACTCCAAAGTCAAGGCTTATCGACAGATGCTGTCAACATCATATTGCAATCATGGAGAGGTTCCACAAAGAAACAGTACAAGTCATATCACAAAAGATGGATGCAGTTTTGTGCTAAGGAACACTGCAATACCGTTTCACCAACTATCAGCCAGGTTTTGAATTTCTTAACTGAGCTCTACCACAGTGGGCTTGGATATTCAGCGTTAAACACAGCCAGATCTGCTCTGTCTACCTTTGTGTTGGTTGACGGAGTAGCAGTTGGGCAACATCACCTAGTCAAGAGACTATTGAAAGGAATATTCAATTTGAGACCTGCTTTGCCCAGATATGGGGTGACCTGGGATGTGTCTAAAGTGTTGACATATCTTCAGACTAAGTCAGCTGATTGTGCCAGTTTGAAATGGATGACTCTGAAGTCTGTAACTTTGTTGGCACTTTTGACAGGACAGAGACTTCAGTCTTTAAACTGGATTGATGTAAGAAATGTTGAGTTTTGACTGATAGAGTTAAAGTTAGGTTTGGTGATATTTTAAAGCAATCAAGGCCAGGTTTTCACCAACATGAGTTGACTCTTACTAGATATTCAGATGTTTCACTGTGTGTAGTTAGTACTCTAGAGAAATACATGGACATGACCAAGAGCCTCAGAGGTGCAGAAACT